CTTTATATTAAGTTTACTTGCTTGCTTGCGCACTTACGACCGTGCACATTTTTCGGTCGTTTTTTAACCCACTTCCAGTGATCAAATCGAGCTGACATTTTGCACACAGACTTGTGCGTGACAATTTATTTTCGTGAAAATTTTTTTCCAAAATTTTACACTTTTTAGGAAAAAATAAATTATATTTAATTACCAATTGCTTAATGGTGGCAGGCAATCATCTGACCTATAGGTGGCAGCCATCTCAAGCCAGAGGACGAGAGGAATCTAGCCGCCACGCATATAAAGGATTTATAGTGAAAAACGTTGTTTTTACGGGTTAATTTTTTTCACCTAAAGACATTTTTACTATGTTTCTATCTACGTGGTATGTTATTTTCTTGTTTTTTTTGTCGTTCCCGTAAGTGTATTAGGATTGCGTTATTGTCACCATGCCACGAGATGAACTATACAACGCAGTGCAACACTGTGGTCGAGAATGACCCGCAGAAACGGTTATAACAGAACGACTTCTAATATCTCCTCGAGTGACATCTGTACTACATGTATTATAAAATGTTGCATTGAACGGAGGACCCAATGGCATATGGCAGTTAACCAGCAGTGATTGGAGCAGACCTAACTCTCATTGTGAGATGCTGTTTGACAAAACCGGCCCAATGTTTTACCTGTATTGAATCAGTGCTGCTGAAATGATGCATTTCCAGAAATGCCATTGAGCCGATGGGTTCTGGACGAAAGACTTTTATTTTTAAGTGGCCATGCAGATGACTGTATATGATGCGAGAGAAAGTCTGCAAAAATACTCGGTGTTTTATTTACACTAGGCGGCAGCACTTTCTCAGATGCATGCTGCAGAGAGTAACTTTCATAGCATCACAGTCCATCTGATATTTGTAATTTTCTCAGCTGGAATTTAGTCGGAATTAAGTGCAGAGGCAAACTGAACTTAGTGTCCGTTTGTTGTGTGTGCAGTCATTTGGTGAGAAACCATCAACTGATGACACTGAGAGAACCCGGTTTAACTACACGTGGCTTCCTGGATGTAGAGCAGAGGTCGCAAACGGGTTTTGATTCCTTACCCGTACCCGTACCCGGCCCCACCAGGGTCGCAAACGGGTACCCGATACCCGTACCCTACCGGATACTCGGCTACCCGTACCCGGCCAGGTATCGGGTAGGGTACGGGTACCCGATTGCGACCTCTGGGATGAAGCCATGTTGCAGGCGCGGGTGGGTTGATTCTAGGAACTTGAATTGTGAGAAGAGACAAGACGTTGGGAAATGAGTGACAAACGGTGACTCACCAGTGACTCACGGCCTACCCGTACCCGGCCGCACCAGGGTCGCAAACGGGTACCCGTACCCGGCCGGGTACGGGTAGCCGGGTATCGGGTAGGATACGGGTATCGGGTACCCGAGGACCTTGCCTGGTCCCATGTGTAAGCTCTACAGGACGAGTTTCGGAAGAAAAAAAACATCTATTTTGCCTTCTTGAATTTTTTTAATAACAATTTATCATCCTTTCTCATTTTTAGATATTTCAGTTATGTAATTATGCAAGTGATCTGACAATGTGATGATAATTGTGATGAGAATTATAACACTGTAGGAACGTGTTTGTGCATCACCCGATGCCACGTGACACCACATGCCGCGGGGGAGAATAAAATCGTGTTGGTGACCTCATAAATGATGCAATTTCCCGTGAAGGCATGCCATTTCATAAATCCGAAACAAAAAGCGGATTTTTCAGATTACTAAAAAAAATTGACGGGAACATTTCCCAGTGCAGACCACAGCTGTTAAATCCAGCACGGTTACTCTATTTATGTCTCCCCCGTTCACGAGGAAAACGCTTTAAATCTACCCAGTGAGTGTAGCCAGCAACATTTGTTGTCATTGCAGTCGCCAATAACCCCAGAGTCAAGGATCAGGGAGTCGGCGACCTGCGACTCCGTAGCCCCAGGTAGCGGCTCTTCAAAGACCGCTACAGTGATGTTACTTATACTGGTTGGAACCTCCTGGTTACACCAGCCCACAGGGGATTATTGTGTCCGTCCGTCCGTCGTGCAGGGAGGGGCTGGGTGGGGAGGGAGGGGCTGGGTGGGGAGGGTGGGGCTGGGTGAAGAGGTGAGGGTGGAGAGGGGCTGGGTGGGGAGGGTGGGGTAGGGCTGGGTGGGGAGGGTGAGGAGGGGCTTGGTAGGGAGGGTGGGGCTGGGTGGAGGGTGGGAGGGGTGGGGCTGGGTGGGGAGGGGCTGCTCACCCCGTGGTGCCCTTATAAAACTCAACGTTTAACCTACTCACGCCGGCTTGTGCCCGCCCTCACAGTCGGGCATATTTGCGGAATACACCACGCCGCCGTTGACCCTGGCCATTGACCGAGCAACCCAACGTTCCTACCAGCTCCCTCCGCAGGAATGTTTTCTCCTTCAACATCAAAGTGCAGCGCCACATTAAATACGCACGACAACGATAATAGTTTAAAGCGATTTGAAGCTTGTTTTATATTTTTTTGGAGGGGGGGGGGCAGAACTTTGTGACGTCATATTCGAGGGGGGGCCGTCTGACTTTTTGTTGACGCAGTGTGACAACGGGGGGGGGGGGGGGTTAAAAATCGTCCAAAATCGCGTGACGTCATTTATGAACGGCCGCTAATCATTGCGCCACCGCTCCAGCGGACATGGACTGGGTCGTGGAATGGGTGCGGTGAAGCAAGTCCTGGGTAAATTTCGATTTAAAGCTTTCGTGACTGCAGGGATTCATCTTCTTGGTTCTTTCGGTAAAGTCACGTAGAATGGAAATAATAAAATTAAACATAATAAAACAATTCTCACGACGTTTCGGCCACAACGCAAGCAGCCGTCCTCAGGTGGAGAACAGGTCTGTCGAGAAGACAGTCTGAAGACAGAGTCTTTTTATTATGTTTTATTTTTATTATTTTATTATTTCCATTCTACGTGACTTTACCGAAAGAACCAAGAAGATAAGTCCTGGGCACTTCCATCAAATCAACAAGGCGCACTGGGCAGTGAGGCGACATTGTGGTCAAACATCCACCCCCACAAGCGACCCACCATATGGGGGGAAAGCCATCAGCAGCAGTAATGTGTTGAGCAAAGAGCTGTAAGTAACTAATGGACTGTGACCATTAAAGGACGACGCAAACCCCAAATAAATAAGGCACAGAGTACCGCAGCTGATATCTTGTAGCAACTATATGCAACTAATGTGTGTCAGGCGAGTTTGTGGCCTTATTCACAGGAAGGAAAAGCAAATTTAAATTTCGATTTGAAGCTTTCGTGACTGCAGGGATTCATCTTGTTGGTTCTTTCGGTAAAGTCACGTAGAAGGAAAATAATAAAAATAAAACATAAGGAAATAAATAAATAAAAATAAAATAGTTAATTCCTTTGATTATATTTCTATTTAAGGCATTCGTGACTGCAGGGATTCATCTTGTTGGTTCTTTCGGTAAAGTCACGTAGAAGGGAAATAATAAAAATAAAACATGATGAAAAAACATATAAAATAGTTAATTCATTTGATTATATTTCGATTTAAAGCATTCGTGACTGCAGGGATTCATCTTCTTGGTTCTTTCGGTAAAGTCACGTAGAAGGAAAATAATAAAATAATAAAAATAAAACATTATATGACGTAGAAGGGAAATAATAAAATAATAAAAATTCTATTGTATGTGACTTTCATGTTTTATTTTTATTGTTTTATTATTTCCCTTCTACGTGACTTTACCGAAAGAACCAAGAGGCTAATTTAAAATTCACATTTACGGGCCCTTAAAAGTAACTTCAAATTAGGCCCCCCCCCCATCTCACGAGATAAGATCCGTTTTGTTTGCCACCAAAGTTCCGTCGATCACAATCAGAAGATGAAGTTGTACTGGAGGATGATACAACTGGGAGCATTCCCACAAACCCTATCGGGGCCGCCCATAAATGACGTCACGTGATTTTGGACGATTTTTGACCCCCCCCCCCCTTCGTCACAAAAAGTCAGCCCCCCCCCTCAAATATGACGTCACAAAGCTCTGCCCCCCCCCCTCAAATATGACGTCACAAAGCTCTGCCCCCCCCCCAAATAAAACATGCTTCAAATAGCTTTAAACTATTGTCATTGTAGTGCGTATTTAATGTGTCGCTGCACTCTGATGTTGTAGGAGAAAACATTTGTTTAAAAGTCTATTTCATTAAATAGAACGTGTTGTCTATATTTACACACACTGAGCACTGGACATACACTGTACACACACTGAGCACTGCACACACACTGAGAACTGTACACACAGCACTGTACACACACTGTCAACACACTGGCCACCGCACACACACCGTACACACTGAGCACTGTACACACACACTGAGCACTGTACACACTGAGCACTGTACACACACTGAGAACTGTACAGACACACCGTACACACTGAGCACTGTACACAGTACACACTGAGCACTGTACACAGTACACACTGAGCACTGTACACACACTGAGAACTGTACACACACACTGTCAACACACTGGCCACCGCACACACACCGTACACACTGAGCACTGTACACACACACTGAGCACTGTACACACTGAGCACTGTACACACACTGAGAACTGTACAGACACACCGTACACACTGAGCACTGTACACAGTACACACTGTACACAGTACACACTGAGCACTGTACACACACACTGTCAACACACTGGCCACCGCACACACACCGTACACACACAGCACTGTACACACACACTGAGCACTGTACACACACTGAGCACTGTACACACACTGAGAACTGTACACACACTGTACACAGTACACACAGTACACACTGTACACAGTACACACTGAGCACTGTACACACGACCCCACCACCCACTGGGTCACGCAGCCGGCTTTGCCCCGCACGGGCCGCGTGCGTTCGCGCGCCGCAGCAAGCCACGTGGCGCAGCCATCGCGCCTCTTCCGGAAGAGACTCACGACCCGCAGAGCAACAGCGGCGGGCGTGGTGGTGGTGTTGTTATTGTACGTGGTTTAAGTGTGGTGGTGTACGTGGTGTAAGTGTGTGGTTGGTGGTGTAAGTGTGTGGTGGGTGGTGTGGTGTGGTGTGTGTAGTTTGTGGTGCGTGTACGTGGTGTGTGTGTGTGTGGTGCGTGTGGTCTGCATCTTCCGGAAGGGAGAGGTGGAGGGGGTTAAAAAAAACGAGCACGCATTTGGGGTGCTCGTATCCGAGCTGGGAAATGTGAAAATCGACAGTCACAACCCACCATCACCAGCAGCAGCATCATCATCAGTCCGGCATCTCCGACCATGCATCTACTCCCGTTTGTCTGCCTCGGCGGGGCTTCCCGCTCGTTTCCCGTCGTCACCTCGAGGTGTTTTAGTTGTTTTTTATAGAACAGAAGCGAGCGAGTGAGTGAGGGAAGAGAATAAGAAGAACGAGAAGAATAAGAAGGGAGAGAAAGCGACGAAGAGACGATGCCCAGGTGTAAGAAGCGCTCCGGCACTAAAGGTGAGGAGCGGCGGCTTGCGGCCTACGTCAGGCTTTCCGTACGGCCTCGCCTCGCTATCGATTACATTAAATCGATCCTTAATTCTACGACGTTAAACGTTGTCGGTTGGCAGATCGCTACCAAGTAACGTTGACGACGTCGTCCGGTTAAAGCGAGGAGGCCGACATCACCCTCCGTGATTGTTATCGGGCTTAAAGTTGGGGGCTCAAAGCGGTCGTCGGTAACGTTTACGGACGGACTTGAACCCGCCGCGCGAACGTGGAATGTCCTACTCGTTTCTCTGCCCACGGCTGTGATTATTGAGCCGATCGCCCCGTTAAATTGTCGTGTGAGCGGCAAACCGGCTTGGACGTGTCTAGCGGTGGATAGAGAAAGTTTCGTGTCTTGAGGCCCCACGTCGGGGAAGGCTCTAGGCCTACAGAGTGGTGGGACACAAGTTAGTGGTTTAACGATTTCGCGATCGATATTATTTATTATAAAGGTTTTTTGGGGTGAGGTCGCGGAAGTATTAATGTGTCATAACCCCTCTTCTTGGTTCTTTCGGTAAAGTCACGTAGAAGGGAAATAATAAAATGAGAAAAATAAAACAAAATACAATTCTCACGACGTTTCGGTCACAACGCAAGCAGCCGTCCTCAGGTGAAGAAGAACAGGGCTGTCGGAAAGACAGCGTCTGAATGACAACAAACTCCGTGTCATAACCCCTCCACCATCCCGACATAGCCAATTAGTAAGGGATTTGTCACGTAAACTAAAACACGCCAATTAGTTTATTACTTCAAGCCCCCACCGGTGTGTTGAAGTAAATCCACAACATTAACAATTTGATTAGTTCGACGTTTCGCTGGTAATTACATCAACCAACATCATCGGGCGATTTGCAAGAATGACTAAAGTATTCTTGGTTATCTCGGTAAAGTCACGTAGAAGGGAAATAATAAATATATAAAAAATAAAATGTTCTTTCTGTGGATGTCACACTTGATGATGATTGCTTGTGTTGCAGTCGAAACTTCGTGATAATTTCTATTTTATATTTCTATTATTTTATTGATTCCCTTCTACGTAAAAGTATTAAATCAAAATTTAGAACTAAAGTACTTTTAAACGTTGACATGTTGTTTGTGGTGGGTTTGTGTGCCCTCTCCCCTAGTATATATATTATATAAGTTATAAACTCTTGCACACACACTATCTTGTAAATCATCTCACGGGACTGCGTGAAGTAAATTCTAACGGTGTCCAAGAAGGTTTCTCGTGTCGGTAGACTAAAGGTAACATTTGTATAAGTACCTCGTATTAAGTAGGAGCGCTTGATGTACATTATACTGCTTCAATGTACTCGTAACTATAAACATTCCAAAACTTTTCTTTATATTTCCCTCCCCAAAAATAATTACGACCATTAATTTGCGTTACTCATTGGGCAGGGTCACTTTGTAAAGTTCTAAACGCTTAAAGATGTATATATATTCTTGGTTCTTTCGGTAAAGTCACGTAGAAGGGAAACAATAAAATAATAAAACAATAAAGAAAATGTTCTTGCTGTGGTTTTCACACCTGATGACGATTGCTTGTGTTGCAATCGAAACGTCGTGAGAATTGTATTATTATTTATTATTTTATTATTTCCCTTCTACGTGACTTTACCGAAAGAACCAAGAATATGAATCCCTGCAGTCACGAAAGCTTTAAATAAAAAACTTAAAGATGTAGTTTATACCACGGCCTCCACCTTCACAGTAAACTCAAGTATCTCGCCTCCCGTGTAAGCATGACCCTAAAGCCATTACAAAGTGAAGAAAACCAGCTGACTTACTGCTACTGCTACAGCTGTAACAAGATCTAGAGATGCCTGCATTGTGTGAGAAAGTAAGACTGCCGCTAACACTCTAATACGCTAATACTGGCACAGAGTGGCCCCTGCATGGCAAGGCAATGCCCCCACCCTAGGCCTGCACATTGGTAATATTGGCTACTCCTTGCCATTCCAGTAGTTGGCACTTAGTGTTGGGAATTGTACACGCGTGGGGTTATGGATTAATATTTTTTTAATATAAGGGTTAAGGCCCTTGTGTCTGTGAGTCGTCTCATGGGTAATGTAAATCCGAATGTCCTTGATTATTTCCCTGGCTCCGTGAGGGTTAAGCTTTTTGACGTCAAGACCTCGGGCAAATTGGCTCCGATCAAAAGCTGCCAGTGATGGTGGTGCCTTTACATGTCTTACTGTAGCTGGGTGTAAGCACACATTAAATAAGCACGGTCCTCGGTGAAGCCACACGTCTTTACATTGATGGCATGATTCTGCTGTGGTGTTACGGTTATCACACTGGACTTGCAATCCATTTGGATTTCCCGGCATGGCAGTTCAAGGAATGGTGCAGAGTTTCTTAAACCTCTCCCCGACTTTCTCCACCCAGCAACATAAATGGGTAGACCACAGGTTATATTCGGGTCGTGTGTCACGTGGTTAAGTGATTGTACTCCAACCTCATCTCGTGCGGAAGAGTAGGCCAAATGCTAGCTCTCTCTAGTGGATGCTCTTCCACCAGCAATGGCTTGAGAAATCAATTACAAGTCTCAACCTCTACTTGGGCAACTTATGATTTAAGCACACTGGATATAAGCACACCTATCATGCTTTCAAAGGGCGTAATTATAACCAGCTTATGTAATGCTTCAGTCACACTTTATTAATGAAATAAAACATCGAGCAGTAAATTTGTGGTGTTGTGCCACCTGACTTGGCTTTTTATCCACTCCACTCTCATTGTAGTTTTCAAACACTGATGCTGTTGAATTTATGTTGCCCAACTTCAAGCCACTGTTGGCCAAACATAGTTGTCATGCCGTCGTTGGCTTGATGGCACTACTTTGCCTACCATGCAGTCCACTGTGGACATGCCATCGTTTATTCCCTGTGGGTAAATATCTCTGGGAACATATCACCCTGCTCATCAACAAGTGGTGTTGTGCAGGATATGTTTGCCCACTTTCCTGCCACGGACCATGAATGGCCATCATTACACAAGTGAGCTCACAAAAACACATGGCATTACTACGTATGCCTCGTCATTAGGTAGATATCTCACCAAATCGCTTTGAATTCACCCGATCTCATCTCATCTCAGCAGCTATAGAAGGGGTTGAGCCTGGATAGTGATTGGATGGGTGACCGCCATGCTTAAAATGTGTTTAAAGTTGCTGCTAGGCTACGTTGTGAGCTGAAGGCAGTACAGCAAACCCCGTTAATGTCCTGTGTTCTCCCATCTGTGCTCAATTTCAACAACCAGTGCTTGCCAGCATGGTGAAGTAGTTAAAATAACCCCCGCGACCCACAGGGTGTTGGGCAGGGCTTGGCATCGAAAATGTCAAGAAGAGCCATTTTTGTATCAAATTCGGTGAAAATAAAACCCTCAATATTTCAAGACCCGCAATGTGAATAACGCCATGGTGTAAAGGCCCATGATGTAAAGGGATTCTCCCCCTCATCCAGGAGTGGATTAACCATGGGGGCTTGCACGTGTCCAACACATTGGGTAGCTTTCACAACCACAATCTTGCATGTGGGAATGATTTGGGACTTGGCACCTTTCACCGACCACGCAAGGCACGAGAAGAAACACTTTTTCTCGCTTGGGGTAAATCTGACACGGCAGCCGCGTACCGGCAATACCTGTGTGCTCGCCGTCAAAGTAATGAATTGGTGCTGACCTGCTTAGTCACGTTGTCGAGGCTGTAATGTGAGGTTGGGTGGGAGGAAGTAGTATTTATTTACAGCTGCACTTGTGGAGCAGTGAGATGAAAGCACCACAAACTGCCCTGGGTGTGTGTATATACAGAATGCTTAACAAACTAGCATCCATTATTTCGTTCACACTAATATCGAGGATTACATTAGCTAATGCCTAATGAGTAAACAGCTCCTAAACACAATAGAGTACTTGAATTGGTATTTGCAGGATTAAACCCCACCCTTTTTACATTCTGCATGATGACACTAATGATAAATTGCATGTTGTATTGTACATTGTGTGGTCTATGCAAAGCAGTATGACTGCTTTCCTGACTCGTTGGTTAAACCCAGGAGATGGAGCGATAGAATCAGCTCGTGTTCACTTGCTTCGTTCATAATTACTTCGCGCGATTGTTAGAGATGGTGCGGTGGTTTGGGGAGCCCTTCATTCAGCAGTGGACTCACCATGGCTGGTTATTTAACTGTGACTTTAAGTTCACTTTTAAATATTGTCTGGGTGCTAATTGTACATGCGGGTTGGCACATTGTCTTTGTGACGTAGCACCCATGAGGTTGTTAACATACCTGGTTTTGTCTGACCTTTGTCACTACTTTCCACCGCGAATGCAATTGGGTGTAAGCCCTGCTGACATTTGAAAGTCAGAACATCATGTGATATGTAAAGAATGCTGTAGCTCTGTTTGGGGAATATTGTTGACTGGATAGTTGTTGACACAGCAACATAGATTATTCGATTGTAATATTTTAAACAAAGAGGAACAGTTGCACATCTTACAAACTACACTGTACTGATTATTTTTACATCATGGGACCTCCTTTGCCAGTACTGATAGTGTCTTATGTGATATTCATATACAGCATTTGTAGATACCCTGCTAATTTCTAATGATCCCTCTTAACAGGTGATTGAATATTGTCAAAGGGATGGCTTCGTGTTATAAGTTGTAATGCGATAAGTGAGGTTGGTGGGAGACGTGTGAAGGCTTTGAGATAAGTTCCCAATAATGTCCGCCCCGTTAGTGAAGTATCCAAATGGATCTCCCTTGTGTTGAGATTCAATACAGGGCTTGTCATCAGAATTTCCCACTCATGTCCTATCGTCTTGGGTGGCACAAGCCCTGTTTTTTAAACGTCCTTATTCTCTCAGCCCATCCAAACAGCACACTGGAGTGAGGAATCGACCCCGTATTGTGTACACGAAGGCATAAACATGTCTTCCGATTACGATACCCATCGTAAAAAAAAACTAGCTGCAATTGACGTCGGTTGCCGAGTTTACTCAATGTCGTCATCTCCGTGTGACTCTACGCAGCTGTGGGGCATGCTGTGGATAACAGTGTGTGTGCATCATGCAGCCCCTGTGTACTGTAAACTACATTAGATGTTAAGTTATACGTAGCCCTCTTGTCCGGTTTCACTGGTGGATGAAGACTTCGCGCCATGCCGTTCCGGTCACGGGTGGTGTTTCACCATTCTTCACCATGCTGGTCAGTGTCGGTGGAATTTGGGGGAGAGGCTTCGGACGAGTTCACATATCATCGTAGTCCAGGGCTTGAAGTACCGAGAGACACTGTTCAACTGCTCTTTACACTCTGTGCTGGTGAAGAAACCCTTACCTGCCCTTTCACTTAAAAGCACAAGCATATACTTCACAATCAAGTTATGCTACCCTTAAACTGTATTGGCTATAAATCATGTACGAGGCGATTTACATTGCCTCTTAGCTCTGCCAAGTAAAAAAAAATAGTTATCGCAAATAGAAGCGTGATTATTTTATTAACTTGTGCTCCAAATTAGACATGAGTACGTGATCTGCAATCAATCTGTACGCTTTTAGCAAGTCGTGTGTGTGTGTTTTATAAAGCGTGGCGTATTTCTGCCAATGCTGCCAGTAGCCGTTTGCCTGTTGGCATGGCTTCGCAAGTCTGCTTTCAATGGCCTCAATGTCCCTGTGCGAATTTGCACTGGAAAAAAAATTGGTTGCTTTTTTTGTATAATGTTGCATCTGCATCTAAAATGTTATTACATTTTATTGTATGATTGCAATGCAATGAGGAACATGCATTCTGCTCATGAGGTGATTTTAAAGGATGTGTGATGGTGAGAAACCAATCTGTGTGTGTGGTACAGAAATTGCCGGGGGAAAAATGCCAATATTGTTCAAGTTCCCAGTGAGTTGTGTGACTTCAAATTGTACAAGCCAGACTTTAAATCTTTGAGCAGAATTTTTTTACTTTATTCCAAACATGCATTAAACCAGCACGAAGCATGTAGCAAATGACATGGAGTGACTGCTTCAACAAACTTCAAACTTAAACCAACTCGACATGTGAGAACTACATTGACCAAAAGTGGAAGCTTCCTGAGGCCAACATTTTTTAACTAAGCAAGTGGGGAGACTGAATTTTTGGCCCCATGACATATCAGACATTGCAACGTGAGAGATGGTGATGGTTTTGGGAGGTCCGCTGCTAGATGATGTCTGATGATAGTGATGAAATTAAAGTCCCGAACTACCCTTCCTGTACCCCCGTATCACCGATGGCAGGTGGCGGCGGCGGCGCTCGCTATGGCGTGGAGTCGGTCTGCAGCGAGGACGACTGCGCGAGTGAGGCCCGGAGCCACTGCAGCAGCGCCAGCGAAGTCACCAACGCCACTGAGGATGGTACGCGCGTACACGCCGCCAGTGCCCGCACCAAAATCGACGGGGCCGCCGACAATATTGGCAATTTTCATCTATCGCGTCTTAATTTCAACAGCGTCACAAGGAAAAAAAAACCCATGATAGGATTAAAGAGGGGTGTCGGAGGGTAAGGGGGTCAGAAGCATGGAAACGTGGGAGAGGGGACAGCACTCAGGTGCTCAGCACCATCAACAGCGATGAGCCCGAGGGACAGCCTGGGCAGTCTGGGCAACAGCCTATTTTATCCCGAGGGCATCCACGGGAAGATATGGCCCATGCAACGAATCCCCCCCCCCCCCCACATCCTTCTCTGGCCCCACAACATTCCCATCGTTCACTTGTGTTGCAAGGACTTGCTTTATTACGGCTCTGTCCAGATGCTGCTTGCAAACGACAGAACTTGTTTTTAATGTGCTTGGGCCTTTGTTTATTCCATTTATCTGAAAATGCTGTTGGTCGTCCTGTGACCGAGGGCTTACTTTGATTTTTTTTTTTAAATGAACAGGGGGGGACATGTTGAAGTTGGGGAGGTTGGGTGTTTGGAATTGTAACAGATTGCTTTGGTTACGTTTTGACTCATTCTCTCATGCAAGGGACACACATTGTGGAATTGGCACCAGATACACAAGGCATGATGTGAGCGCCCGATGAAAATGCAGACCAGCGACAATTTTTACCACTCGTGTTTAAATTGTGGGTTAATGTGAAAAGCTTTTCAAAGATATACCGTGAGTTATGACACACATCCTAACTATATTACTGGCAATCTAAATTTGATGGCTTTTTCATTTCAATTTCTGGGTCTGTGTAGTATCTTCCTTCAGGGAGAAATTGATGTCTGTTTTAATGTTGGATATTTTTACTGGATAACTTAATTTCAGGTGCACTTGAACAGTTTTACTGCTGGGGCAACAATGGCTTGTCCTTGATAATGGCCTTGTGGGATATTTCTCCGCAAGTGTTTGTTGAGTTAATTTAATCGTTGACCACAATGGAAACGAATTGTGTAAAAACGGGGTGTTTCAAATTGTTTTTTTAACACTCATGAGAATTTGCAACAATACCACAATACATGTGCCTCCGGGCTCTGGAGACTAACTGGAGAAGATTCCAGGCACGCGTTGACTTTTTGAAGCTATTTAAACATACATTTGTTATCATGTTACAGTGTATTATCCGTTCTTCTTCCATTACAACCATAGTCCCATATAAGTGTTAACATTTTTTAAAGCACCCTCTATATATACCAGGTCTCGCTCAAAGCTGCATGGACACCTAACTTAGTAGCACATTTTTAGAGCAGCCTGTGAGAGAAGACTGCATTTAATTCCGAGTTTAAACAACTTGTAGCAATCTTGGCATGGGACACCTTTCTCGTGTTAGGCATGTGTTCAACAAAGGCATAGGGCACTGTGCAGTGTTAGCCATGTGTTCGCCAATGTAAATCCTACTGTTTATCTGGGATAGAAAAATCCTCTCCTTGCCGACTCGTGTGTTATTTATTCCTGGCTGTTTGTTACAGTGGGTGGTGAGACAACGGACGAACATGCTAACCAGGAGGACGTTGAAGACAAATTGAAAGACTTCATAGAAAGCACCCTGGATAAGAGGTGTGTTGCTGCACTTGAGGGCAGACTCACGCTGTATATATACAGTCGTCTATGTGCTAGGCAGCAAGAGGGCAGTGCAGAAAACTCATTTGTTGTACTGTACTTCTATGTGCCGTCATCTAAGCTCCCCCATCTTTACCAACACGTACTCGCCAGTGTGGCGCTGTATGGTCAAATAACTCCAAATGACTCTATTGTTTGGGGAGGCTCTCATCCAGCAGTGGATTGATAGAGGGCTGTACATGCACATTTACTGCAATAGCAATTTAAATATTGTATTTTGTGGTTTAGTAATCCACTGATATTAGGCACTTGAAACAGCTAACACGCACAGCCATAGACGCAATGGATACATTTCTTAAATTATCCCGCCCCTATCCATCCAGCAGTATACATGGGCCCACCATAGTTGATCAGTAGGTCGTGTGTAGTGAGGTAAAGTGTCGATAATTCCACCTCGCCAACGTGGAAGAGTAGGTCAAAATGTGGCTCTCAATCTATGTATATATGTTGAACTTTTTTTTGCACTGTACGTGGCCAACCGTGCTAGCAGTGGAGGCCCTTCCATTTGCAGTGGCATGAGCAAGCAGTTGCAGGGCCGCTCCTTTACTACGCACCGCGTAGTCCAGGAGTCGGCAACCAAAATAACAAGAAGGGCCATTTTTATCGAATCCAGTAAAACAGCTCAATATTTCAAGAGCCGCAATGCATTGTGTGGTGAATGGTGGTCCATACTAAATAACGAGTCACGAAGCGGTCGTTTAAGAGCCGCATGCGGCTCCGTAGCCGGAGTTTGCCGACCACTGGGTATAGTCTAATGCGATAACCTTGTCACGAAGCGTGAAGATCCGCCTGGCTGCGCTGGAAGGCCTGCGCTCTGCCCTGTCGAGGAAGAACCTCTACGACTTTCTCACGGAGCGGAGGGTGACGCTCACCGACTCGTTGGAGCGATGCCTGAAAAAAGGTGAGCGTTTGTCCCGCGCAAAACTTTCTCTCTCCTCGCCCTGCCAATCGGACAAATCATTGTTTGGTGGTACCGCGTTGGCGGTGGTGCACGAGCAGGAATGGTGAAACCGTAATGCGTTCATCAATAAGACTCCCCTGAAAAGGAGAGTATATAACAGGTGACATTTCAGACATTGATTCCTCACACCACATAGAGAGGCCAGAGAGGTGAAGCCTCTCTGTGTGCTGTGATGAAGGGCCGTTGCTTGCCACGTAAAACCTATTATATACTTTTTCTTTTTAAGTCTGTTCCTGAATTGATAGGCTTCCCAGAGGTGAGCTAAATGGAAATTTAAAATGTTGCCGAAGCTGACGTCCCTGATGGTGTTGCAAGAAGATCCATTTATAATTTCCCCACGAATGTAACGGGCATATAATTATTACAATTCATTTCAAAGCCTAGACATGTCTCCCACCAATATCAATATACTGAAATCTTGTAATGCTCTTAACATAAGGAGCCACCGCTTTCACTCTGTTCAGCCACCTGTTGAACAGTAATAGGATCATTAGAAATCATTGGGGTATATATATATATAGTTGAGTCACCCTGTATCATACAAATGGTTTCTTGTTAATGGACTGACATTCCCGTCAACCCAAGCCCCAAACGTACACTTCTTCTGCATTAAGCTGTTTGGCTAAGAGTCGCAGAGTGCGTAAGCAAGCTTCAGCATAAATCGGTTACTCATGATCTGAGTACCCTGAAGGGAGCTGACGAGAGGCAATCGTGACTCATCCTCAAGTATGATGCGAGGGGGAATTTTAACAGGGCTATTGCATTCTATATTCCGGGCAAGCGTCGCGGGTACAAACGTTGCGACATGATTGCTGTACATGTCACCACTAATGTGTGTACCTCTTTTCTCTAGGTTTGTCCGTATCTCTCTTTTTGATTATCAGTTATCTCTCATCCACAGCTATCTTATCAGCTGTCGCTTATCTCTCTCATCTCACTCACTAATCTGCATCTCTTTGTCTCGGCAGGCCACATTGAGAGGCCATTACGGACCACATTCTGCCAGTTAAAAAAATGCCGCCCCAAAGAGACAACAAACCGCCCCTGCTCCATTGCGTTGTTGTTTTTTGTCTATACAACATAAGTATGAAAATGTGCTGAAAATGTGCTGAATTTAATACTTGTTGTATGGTATTTCAATTGTTGTTTTTATGTGTGCTTATTGTTAATGAACAGCTTTTTGTTGGCCAAACGTGGGCATCCTGATGTCAGCTGTATTGTGCAATTTAAACAAAACTTCACATTTCGATTTAAAGCTTTCGTGACTGCATGGATTCATATTCATGATTCTTTCGGTCAAGTCACGTAGAAGGGAAATGCGTTGTTGTTTTTTGTCATTACTGCAGCGCTGCAGCAGCACGGCTGCAAAGCATTGCTGCTTGCTGACCGCTCGTATGGTCCTCTTTCCTGACGCCGCACGTGCCGCTTTGCCGCCCCGACAGGGAAGGGCGAGGAGCAGGCGCTGGCGGCGGTGGTGGCCACGCTGCTCGTGGTGCAGCTGGGGGCCAACAGCGAGGGGGAGGAGTGCTTCCGCACCCTGCAGCCCGTGCTCACCAGCATCCTCGTCAACGCGTCGGCGAGCGCGCACAGCAGGCAGAGCGTGAGTGCGCTCGGCTTACACGCCTCCCGTCGTGTCGACAAGGCACGGTCAGCCGGTGCTGTCTGGCACTCGGCTCGTCCATTGAAAGTGCTTGCCGCAAGTGAACCACAATACCTTTGTTGATCTTGTTGAGGAGCATGAAACGTCAGGCGAGCTCCGGTTATTCTCGCAGCGGCAGCGGCCAATGCATCGCGCGCTTACAAATGCACTCCTGCGGCCGCCAGGAATGCTCTTGTCGATTATTAGAAAGCAGTGGCGGCTCCTGCAAAATCTCTCAGGGGGGGCAAATGTCTGGATGATTGATAAGGATAAGGTCCACCCATGTAATGGATAAATTAACAGCTTAAGCATGTAAAGGCAACTTCACTTCTTTAATATTAATGAAAAATAAAGTGACTCTTACAATACATCTTGTTTGTTTATATACTCACTATTAAAACAAACCACTCAAGTTTATTTTATTAAAGATTCCACTAGGTAGCGATAAATTATATTGTTGGATGAAACGTGCTTACGTATGATGACGTTAGCACGTATGATGACGTAAGCACGTTAGGGCTTGCCCTCCCAGAAGCCATAGAGAATGCATTGGAGCGCCCCCGTTCGAAAAAAAACATCTTTCAATGTAAGTCTATGGGGCCACTCGGGGCGATTCTGAGCCGGAGTGAAATCGCCCCAAAAGAGGCGGTACTCCACAGAACGTGACATGACGCTGATTGGACTATATCCAGAGGCTGACAGTGACGGCTAGCGTGACTGTGGTTGAATGACATTGGTGGTGCGTCGCCCAATCGCCCTAATGAAGAAACCGCCCCTGTTAGAAAGCCACCGGAGCTATGATTTTATACATCTGAGCATAAGAGTCAATATTAATCTATCGTTACATGCCTAATCATTAAAGTTATTTTACATCTTGTGTAACTTTTTTCTATTTTGCTATACAATATAAGTATGAAAATGTGTTGAATATAATACTTGTTGTATGGTATTTCAATAGTTTTATATGTGTGCTTATTGTTAATGAACAGCTTTTTAGTTGGCCAAACTTTGGCATCCTGATATCAGCTGTATTGTGCAATTTAAACAAAACTTCACACTTGAAGTGTGTATTTCTTGGCGTGTTCATGTTAACCTGCTTCACACACAAAATTCCGCACACTGTCTAACATGAAACATTTGCACTTCTTTGCAGTGTGCTACAGCTCTGGCCATGTGCTGCTACATTTCGGATGGAATGGAGGTGAGTTGAACGTTCAAGCGGTGCTGATGCAAGCCACAACATGCGCAGGGCCGGATAGTTGCTCGACGTTGTTGTGTTTGGTCCAAGTTGGGTGAAGCGAAGCTTTATGCAACACAGTTTCCAAAGATAACATGGGGCTCACCTTGGTGTTTGGTGAATTACGTTGCAACGGCTTGTAAATAACAATTGCCGACTGCAGGCCCAGAGGTCCAAAATGGCAAGCGATGAGCAACAAGACGGCACCATTGAAGGTGTAACAGTTGGAGGGTGAATGCATTTCTTGAGCTTCAGAAAGGGGATGATGAGAGGATGGGATTCCACATTTGAGCAGTGCGTCGCAAGAAGCAGAAAGAGGAGTGTGAGGTGACCTGCAGAGTGTGGTGGTTGAACACGAGAGTGTGGATGAGATGCAATAATCAGTCTGATAGAGCCGTGGCCTCAGCATGGTTGAAGAAATAAATGACTGAAGTTCACGGGGTTCATCGATACAGCCTCAGTCTAATTTTCACAGGTCGGTATTTAATTTTAATACTCTTCAGGGAATTTATTAATACAAACAGCAAATGGTATGGTGTCATATTCCAGCAGGCATGTGGTTGTCACGATGTGATCTTATTATTCATATGTATTATTCGTGAATGACTTTGAAAGCCTTTGAAATTTGGCATGTACCTCCTATTTATTCAGTTTCTTAAAGAAGGTGACATTTTCCTTTATATATTCACCATTTGACTCTGGTTTAAACCCACTTTACAGCAGATAACTTGGCCAGGTTTCTTGAATGTTACAAAACACATGTTCACCACCATATGCCATTTACTTTGGATTATGGGCAGAATAAGTAATATTTAAAAATACTTTTGTTAAAGCACGCTTTAATGAAATGTACCGTACGAGTAATGGAAGAACTCCACGACTCCAGGAAGTGGCCCCGAAGCTTGCCATAGCGTAAGGGGCCGTGGTTATTTACAGCCAACGTCAGTTGAGCGTGGACAATTAGACCCAAGCCGAAACATAACATGTAAAAATTAATGTTTAAAAATACTTTATTTATATTTTTGATATAATGTAGTATTGTCATCAGTATGACATAAGTATACCAAGTTTGCAGTCGGTACCACATTGGGAAGTGGGTTAAAATTGAGTTACAAAATTTGAGGATACAACAACAATAGACAGAGTGAGTTAAATAAAAGGGTGTAAAAATAAAACTGTTACGGTGACTCGGTACTGGAAAGTTTGGTGCTTGCCAACCTCGTGACTTTGAATAATTGTCACATCACCCAAAAACCTCGTCTGTGAAGTTTCAAATTGGAAATATGTCCCATATATGCTAGGCTGACTCAATTTTACACATCGGGTCACAGTCTTGTTTAAAAAAAAAAGATCCTTTGGCACTTTAAATTTGGTTTAAGAAAGTGTGTCGCTCGCCACACTAATTTCTAGCGAAGCCTTCCGAGGTACAATTGCGAGTGCTCCTTCTGGTGGTGATGCTCTTGAAGCCGATGCAAATTTACCGTTCTCGGCACACGTCACGTGGCGTGGTTGCTCGCTCGCCCAATTGCTCACTCGTCTAGGAAGGGTGAAGATTTTAGTGACGGCGACGCGCTGGATATTTAAGTATGCCGGGTGACCTCTGGAGCAGCAACCATCACATCAGAGAGCAGCGTTGCAATGTCGCCACTTTACGAGCGGTGAAACAGGAGAGGCAAGCGCGTCTGGGCACGGGTTTTATTCATTGACGTTCCATTTGGACACATTTCTGCATGTGATTGCATCGTCTTACCATGACAAATGTTGGCTCCCCGTGCTGTGTTTAGTATGCATCAATGATTAATACAAATCACGCGCGATAATTAATTATTCATGGGGTATGCAAATTACGTGCAAATTAAATGCTCATGTTGGTTTAGGCTAACGGGGAGGGCAGGAATGTACAAAGAAGATGGAGAAAATGAGAAATAATACTAACGAGAGATGATGGTAAATAGAGGGCGTAAAAATAGTTTGCCAATTGCAATCTGCAATTGGTGAAACATTTTGTGACAATGAAACTCAACAATTGTTTTATCTAACCAGGTAAGGCCCATTGAGCTGTTTAGTTCTTTTTCAGAAGCTCCCTGGCTATCGCAGATGATAGCTCGACGATAAGTGGCTTATCGTCATGTGGAAATTTATAGCAGCCAAAGTCTTAAAAGCCTCGATTTAAAGCTTTCGTGACTGCAGGGATTCATCTTCTTGGTTCTTTTGGTAAAGTCACGTAGAAGGGAAGTAATAAAATAATAAAAATAAAACATAATAAAACAATTCTCACGACGTTTCGGCCACAACGCAAGCAGCCGTCCTCAGGTGAAAACCAGGTCCGTCGAGGCGACAGAGTCTGAATGAAACAGCACACGAGCTTGGAGCATATATATAAGCTGGGCGCATTGACAAGCTCGTGTGCTGTTTCATTCAGACTCTGTCGCCTCGACGGACCTGGTTTTCACCTGAGGACGGCTGCTTGCGTTGTGGCCGAAACGTCGTGAGAATTGTTTTATTATGTTTTATTTTTATTATTTTATTACTTCCCTTCTACGTGACTTTACCGAAAGAACCAAGAAGATCTTAAAAGCCTGTTTATAAAATAAATATCTCTTGGGGGTGGGGGTTGGTTACTGAATATTTATTTGTATAACAGAGTATTTTGGTTTCGCGACCAATATTATTCATAACAGAGGTTTTTGGGTTAGATGGCCTAAGTATAAAGTGTTCTTACGCGATCTCGCACAAAAACCCTTATTATGAAGAGTATTTAGGCTTTTTTTTCCTTCATAATACCAAGATAAAAATGATGCTTGTTTAGAATTTGTAGAATAAAAAACATGCAAAATTCTTAAAAGCGAATCCATTTACTCTTTTAAAGGCGCTCAAAGAACCAATCCACACAGTCATATGTGGGACTTTTTTCATCAAATGTGCCTGCCTGAGTTTATTTAGAAAAAAACACCTTCAAGGGGATTTCTGAAAATAGTCTTTTTTGTTATTACTGTATCTATACTGAATCTTCAGGCAGGTTCCTTCATTATAAAAAACAATCATCTGTGTCCACCAAAAAAAAGATGGATACGTTGCATTAAATTGGTTATTGGATTGTGTGTGTCGGTGCGGTGAAAATGTGGGCACGGCACATCTGGCCAGAGGGCATGGAATCGTGTAGATCAGATTTTTCCAACCCCCAGTCCTCACGATCCGCACGGTCATTTCTGCATGCTGCACACGCCTGATGATTAAGATCCTTCTGTGTGTTCTATGGAACTGGCGCTCCATGTGTCACTGGGATTTTTGCACACCGTTGGTGTACGGTGCTTTTTTTCTGGAAGAGTTTGCAGTTTTTTCCTGGATTTTTCTGTTTGCGCATAGTCATTTTAAGATGTTTTCTTGTTCATGTTTTTGTTTTGTTGCGGTTGCACCCGATTCAAGAGCCGAATGGCTCACAGGGCAATACCTAATACATGAAACTGAAACACTTTGGACACGCGCGTACACAAAACACAAGAGCCTCTTTGTCATTTTAATCTTCACTACCTGTGTGGAGTTAGTTAATTGCTTAATTTCCACCACCCAACCTATTGTCATAGGCCATAGCCTATGACCAAATCATCCAGAATGCACGCAATCTCATCCTATCTCGGAACTCGGCAGAGGTGAGCCTGGATAACGCTTGGATAGGCAACCACCGGGCACGTAAAGTTATCACCTGCGGAGATATATATGGTGGACAGCAGAGGGAGGTGTTGTACTCTACCTCTATGCTCCCACGTTTGTGCTGCCATCCTTCAACCCTCGCTAACCAGCCATATTGAATGGTCACATAACAACCACAGTCTGCAAGGTAAGGGGGGGGGTGGCCATCAGTGGTGGACCTGACACGCACATGACTTGGGACCACAGAGATGAAAAGCATTCCATACCCACCCACTGGGCCATGAAAACATTTCGTCACCTGTTTAACACCTGCCTGTGCTCGTGTGGGTGACTTGGCACTTGGTAGCATAGCGCGATCAGCGTGGGCCCTGGTGCCAAAACAATTAAATGGGCCCCTTCCCCTGTCCAATTCCCCCACCCTCTTCCGCATCGCCCGGTGCCTAGGCCCCACCAGCCCGTGGGCACCCGGTGCAGCTGCCGCTGCTGTTGCCGCTGCTGTTGCCGCTGCTGTTGCCGCTGCTGTTGCCGCTGCTGTTGCCGCTGCTGTTGCCGCTGCTGTTGCCGCTGCTGTTGCCGCGGCAGTTGCCGCTGCAGTTGCCGCTGCTGTTGCCGCTGTTGCCGCTGTTGCCGCTGCTGTTGTTGCTGCAGCTCATTATTGTTGCGTGCCGTTTGCAGGAGCTGGTGGCCACCATGAAGTGCCTGGAGGCGGTGTTCTCGGCGGCGTACCCTAGCGCGGGCTCGCCGGCGCCGGCCCCCAGCCCCGCGCTGCAGGCGCTGCGCTGCGCCGCGCTGCTCGGCTGGGCGCTGCTGCTCACCATCTGCCCGGCCTCCCGCGACATCATCGCCAGGTGCGCCGTTGCTCCCCACGTCGTAACCTTGCCCTCGCACTCTACCCCCCCACCACCCCGATATTAGTGTAGATTGAAAACTCATTTCTTTAGAACTGCTGTTTGTGGTTAGGTTGTTGTCCTTCTCCCGCACCTCCGATTAGCACGGTTGACTACGTATGGTGCAAAAGAAGTTTAACATACATACTACCCCGCCCGTTGTTCCATCACACCACTTGCCCCCTACCACCTCCCACCCCCAGCAAGAACATCGCTATGAAGTGGATATCACAGAGCTACCTCTGAGACCCCTTTAAGTGACCTCTGGTCCACAGTAGAGAACGGTATTAGTTTTTTTTACAACAAAAATTGTTCCAGTGTGTTTCCATGATTGTATATGAAACTTCACTGACTCGGTGAGGGGTCTCTCAAAATGAAGTCACCAAACTACTTATGGCCTTCATTAGGCATACACCGTTTGTGTACTTGGGAGTAATGCCAAATTTGTGACTCAGCAGTGGAATTTAAGCCAAATTAAGTGAAAAAATAAATATAGCATGACAATTTACATAAAGGTGAGGGATTTTTGTTATTGTGCGGGCACTGGTGCCTGGGTAAGAGACCAGCGACTCGCAGTGCTTGAGACTCATTTAGTTATGGGCCAATCACCTAGATTCCACACCCAGACCATCTCACCGGGACCAGCTCGCCCCGAGATGCACACCCGACAATCCCACCGGGACCAGCTCACCCCGAGATCCACACCCAGACAATCCCACCGGGACCAGCTCACCCCGAGATTCCACACCCAGACAATCCCACCGGGACCAGCTCACCCCGAGATCCACACCCAGACAATCCCACCGGGATCAGCTCACCCCGAGATTCCACACCCAGACCATCTCACCGGGACCAGCTCGCTGCTTTTTCCCTCCCGAGCCACCCAGCCGGCGCCGTTGGGTGATGTTTTGACGAGTGTTGTTTTTGTGCTTTTGTTGCTTTGTGCTGGGATTTCCACTCCCCTTTCCCCCCCACCCCCACTGTGTAATTAGTGTTTTTGCCGCCGAATGTTTTTCATTGGTTTCTCTTTCCTCGCTGTTGTTTTGCGGCCTCGTTTTCTGCATTGGGCTTTTTTGTGTCGCACCGTGGCCGTTTCACTGTTCGCTGTGGCAGCGTTATCGGATGAGGCCGTTGTGCTCCATCGTGCACAGGTTCCAGCGTGCGCTCTGCTGTGTTCTGTACGTTTTCCGTACTTGTCGCTGCACTCTGCCCCGCTGCGTTGGCAGACGTCGCGAACGGCATTGATTTTGGCTGGCACCTCGCGCTTGTGTAACATGACATGGGCGGGAGGTTCCGCTTGACTGCTCTGCGTATATTGTTGATGCGTTTTGTGCTGGGGACAAGGATATTTAAGCCTTGCTAACCTTGTTCTGGCTCAACTCTGTCGCTGTAACCTCGGTGCAATATTGTAGAGTCGTAATTAAACCAGGAAGGTTTCAGGTGTAGTTGAATGAAGGAACTGGCCTTGTTGTTGTTGCCTGTCCTATATTTGACTTGATGATGTTCAAGTCATGTTTCAAGTCCGGTTACTTTAAAAATAAATGCATATCAACTTAATAAGGTAATACATGTTTGGTGTAAAATGTATATCAAGTTAAACGCGCACACATTAGTATATTGCGCAACTTTAACAAGGAGTGATAATAGGTTTTTCCCCTCTTTTCTGGCAACAAAACAGGTGTTAAGACGTTAAAACACCAAACTGGAACCTTTCACAAGGAATCATGTCTGCATTAACCACAATGCTTGGGGTCAGAATGCAAACAAAAAACCACTGAAAATATCTGTGGCATTGTCCTTGAAACGGATTGGTCCACACCAGAGACAGCTTTCTTTTGAGCCTCGTCTCAAACGGTGTTAGACCAGAGGTCACCAAAAGGCGTGTCTCAAGGACAATGCCACAGATATTATCAGTGTTTTTTTTTTGCATTCTGACCACAATAATTGTGGTTAATGCAGACGTGATTCCTTGTAAAAGGTTTCAGTTTGGTGTTTTATCATCTTAAAAACTGTTTTGTTGCCAGAAAAAATGGGAAAAACCTATCATCATATTTTGGCAATGGCAAAGGAGGTCCCATGATGTCGATTTAACAAGGAGTGTTTAGCAAATTGTCTTAACTTTTGGTTGGGTCAAATGTCCTTGTCCTGAACACCGAAATGATGAACAGCAATAACAGAACTGAGCCAATATTGCCACATGACGGCAAAACGAATAACGTTGCGACAGATGGAGGTAGACGCCAACAGAAATGATTAATATATGCTGGCATTGAGGATCACAGCGACGTATATTGTACATGTTCACCTGGTGGTTGTGACCAATTCATCAAGGTCAAACCCAGAGACCTCATTCCATCGGGAAAATGAATATAGGTGAATAAAAACGGTTTAGAAAAATGCAATAAATAAAAACACGTGCAGATTTTTATTTTGGGATATAAAAGCAGGTGAGAGTTTGGCAAGATGACAAGTCTCTTGTGATTAAAGCTATGTTTTATAAAGTGGGAAAACGTGCACATTTTGTCTAAAATCTACCTTCAAATATGTACATGATGTAACACTGCAAAAAAACAGCAAAGGAATGTGTAGGTTTTAAGGGTAGTGGTGTGTCGCCCTCTGTTTGCGGTTAGTTACCGCATGTCGTACAGCGTGACGTCCTAGGTTTCACTCTGCGCGGCTGGAGGCTTCATGGAGTCTCATTGCTAGAGACTTGATGTTTCTCATCAGGAAACTGAAGAAGCTTCCAGCATGTGTTGCGAAATGTCAGGTGTGACGCGGAACGGCGTGCGGTACAACCTCGAAAATGCTTGAGAGAGCAACAGTAAAACTACAAGATGATACAAAAAGAATAGGTTTTTCTCTTTCCGGCAATCATACAAGTCTGGTGTAGGCCAATCAGTTCCAAGGGCGATGCAAACATTATTAAAGCATACTTTATCAGTTGCACCTACGATTAGCACGGTTGGCCACGTACGGTACGAAATAATTTCAACATACAGGAATCAAATAATTTTCGCTGCAATGTTTTACCACAAGCATTTACGGTATAATACAGACTTTGACGCCTTGCAATAGCTGTCCGTTCCGGAAAGGTTCAACCCTATTTTTTCATCATCTTGATGGCGGCAAAAAATGGTCTCGTCGTCGATAGTAAAACTCTACGCGTGGTTTCTAAAAGGGCCGTTCCCGGTGCCGCGTGTCGCGTGTGCAGTCACTTGCCCAAGCTGCCGGCCCTGCTGTCGAGCGACAACGTGAACATGCGCATCGCCGCCGGGGAGGCCATCGCCCTGCTGTTCGAGCTGGCGCACGAGGCGGACGCGGTGAGCAATTAATCTGATGTAATATATCTGAGCTGGTCCTACCCACCACACCCCCCCCCCCCCCTTATATCCGCACCACCCCCACTTCGACAACCCACACCGACCAACGTGGTGAGGTGAAGTATAAAAGCTAAAACTAAGCTTTGTTTATTTTACAATGTAAGGCCCATTGGGCTATGTAGCTCTTTTTCAGAAGCGACCTGGCCACAAATGATAGCCCAAAGAAGTGGCTTATCGCGTGGAAATTTATAGTAGCAGCCAAATACTCTAAACGCGTGACGTTGATTCTAAACGTGGAGGGGAAAAACTGGAGGACCCGGAGATAAATCCACGCGACCACGGGGAAGAGAGACACGCAAACTCCAAATATACAGCAGGCGTCACGGTCGGGATTGAACCCACGACCTCCTGTACCCCGGGCAAGGTAGTTAACATCTCGCCACAGTGGCACCCAATTATGGTCAAACAATCCCCCTATACCAGGGGTCAGCAACCTGCAACGCGGCTCTTTCAGGGACCGCTTTGCGACGTTCTTTATTCAGGACCACCGTCACGTATTCACGTGCATGGCGGCTCGTGAAATATTGGGTTCCTTTTTATTCACTGAATTAGAACAAAAAGTGTCTCCGTTATTCTGTGTTGCCGACCCGTGGCCGAGCGGCACTGTCGCACCGCACGCAACGTCGGACTCCCACCGGTGGAATATAGTCCCAGTCGACTCTCCTTGACGTTTTATCATCGTAATAGCGATGGAGAATTATGAGAGTCACTGACGAATTTAATAAATGCTTATGTTGATGCAGAATGGCTAAAAAGCACAAGAATGTAGGGCAAATATTGTCAATCTTTATTTAAAACTAGATAAATCTCAACTTCTAGATTTGAAGCTTTCGTGACTGCAAGGATTCATACTCTTAGGTTTTTCGGTGAAGTCACGTAGGTAAAAAATTAAAAATAATAGAAATAATAGAAATAAAATAATAAATCAAGACGTTTCGGAGGCAACACAAGTCTCCGTCATCAGGTGGGACCGTCACAGCCAGATTTACTAGCTGTGACGGTCCCACCTATTATTATTTATATTATTTATTATGATTTATTTTTTACCTAGGTGACTTTAGCAAAAAACCTAAGAGTATAAATCTCAACTGTTTGTTAATTTATGCCCGCAAAAACTACAACATGAGGGTTTTATGCTTTTACTAATCGAGCAATTTTAGCTTAGATATCTAAATGGCTTTCAGTATCATGTTGAACACGTCATAATATTTGGTCCCCATAATAAGTGAAATAAAGTCCCCCTTGGAGTGTGACGAGAAAGCCAATAGAAAGCCCCCCTCCCTCCCGTTGACGGTTCGTACGCAGACCGAGTCTCGGGGTGTGGGCAGGGCATTTGTGACATCTGCTTACAACCGTCCTCCTCGGGGTCGTGATTTGGTGGGGCGGGGTGAAGTGCAAAGTACCTGATGTATAACTCTATTATTCTCTTGTGCCTTCTCCCTATGATGCGCGGCTTTTGGGGGGGGGGCGGCCACTGACCCGCGGGACCACTGCAGGACTTCCAGTACGTGGGGGTGGAGGAGCTGTGCGACAAACTCAAGGACCTGGCCACCGACGGCAACAAATCCCGCGCCAAGACCGACCGCCGCAAGCAGCGCGCCATCTTCCGCGACGTCCTCAAAGCCGTCGAGGTGCCGTGTTTTTTTTTTACGTCGTCGCGTCAAACCGAATTTGTGGACGCTGGAGTCGTCGTTTTTTTACCGCTGCCGTACGGTTTGAATGTTGTGCCCTCCGATGCATCTTTTCGCGCCGTGCGACCGAGCCGTCCCAGGGCTGTGGCGAGCCGGTTCGGCGCAGCTCGGCGTAGGGTTGTTTTTCGACTGCGGGAACCGAGAGCTGTGCCGCTGACGTTACGTGCAATGAACACGTCTTTCGCCCCGTCTCCTGGCCCTGTTTGCCCCGCCGGGCAGATTCAGATGTTCCTGTGAAGCCAGCGGATCATAGTTTTTGTTCCGGCTTGGCACAGCAAATAGCTCGGTGAAAAAAAATCACCCATAACCGTGAGCAGAATCGGCCGTGCTCGCTTGGCTCAGAAGTGGGATGACGATCACAATTACGATGTTTTTATATTTTTTAAAAAGTTGACGTGGACGCAGGGAGCCTTTTTGGCAATCGCTGCTAGATGAGGGCCTCTTCCATTTTGCTGTTTTAAGCAAAACCAAATTGAAGAAACTTATAGCTGAAGAGGAAATTCAGCAGCCAGCATGAAATGTGTTAAAAAAAATGCACAGTTGCCTTCAATGGCAAACCATAGCCGGAATCCCAGCATTTTTTGCATGCCGGGATGACATCACCATCCTTGCACATGTTTAGTCACACAGCTTTGTGATAGCCATCGGCTAAAAATATCCCAGGGCCTGAACGAAGCGTGATCTCACAAAGCAGCAGCAGAGCAGTGATGGCTGTACTTGAGTGATGATCCCTAATTATGAGAATGGAACCAGTATAGAGTTGCCTTGCTATCATTTTAGCCTAAATATAAAAAAGCTAAAATCGTAGCAGCCTCGAGTTGAGAGGGGGGGGGGGTCTCATCGTGGGGATGTGGGATGTGTGCATAATGTGCACCAGATGGTTGATGTCACCTCGCTATTCAAGATTACGCGTATATCATAATTTCAATAGTTTGTTTCATTTGAGATGTCTAGTTCTTGACAGGCCTTTCTCAGAATTGCACAATTGTTGCAACCACCATATGACCCGTACGTAAAAGAGAAACTGCACGCATTTTTTCGGGGCGGGCGGGCGGGGGGGAGGGGGTGTGGGATTTTTTTTTATTTCCTTGAGACAGACCGGCCTGACACCTGCCCGCCCCTGTCTGTTCTCGGAGCTTTTGTTTACGCGAAATCGAAAACCACACACACGCACGCACACTTCTTCCTTTGCTTTCTTGCCAAGAGGGTTGTTGTTATTGATGCGCTCGAAAAGAAAACAAGAAAGCAAATCAAATATTTGCCTTGAAGCTCGCTAGCTGGGTAGCTCGCTCAGTTGGCCGCCTTGTACACCCGCCCCCATGATCAGTGGCTCGCGGGTGAGTCCAGTTGGCATGAGGGTTGGCATCGTAGTTTGTGTTGGACCCCCCCCACACCCTCCTCACCATGCCCCCCCACACCCTCCTCACCATGCCCCCCCACACCCTCCTCACCATGCCCCCCCACACCCTCCTCACCATGCCCCCCCACACCCTCCTCACCATGCCCCCCCCACACCCTCCTCACCATGCCCCCCCCACACCCTCCTCACCATGCCCCCCCACCCCCTCCTCACCCTGCCCCCCCACACCCTCCTCACCATGCCCCCCCACCCCCTCCTCACCCTGCCCCCCCCACCCCCTCCTCACCATGCCCCCCCACACCCTTTTCACCATGCCCCCCCCACACCCTCCTCACCATGCCCCCCCCCACACTCTTCTCACCATGCCCCCCACACCCTCCTCACCATGCCCCCCCACACCTCCTCACCATGCCCCCCCACACCCTCCTCACCATGCCCCCCCACACCCTCCTCACCATGCCCCCCCACACCCTCCTCACCATGCCCCCCCCACACCCTCCTCACCATGCCCCCCCACACCCTCCTCACCATGCCCCCCCCACACCCTCCTCACCATGCCCCCCCACACCCTCCTCACCATGCCCCCCCCACACCCTCCTCACCATGCCCCCCCACACCCTCCTCACCATGCCCCCCCACACCCTCCTCACCATGCCCCCCACACACCCTCCTCACCATGCCCCCCCACACCCTCCTCACCATGCCCCCCCACACCCTCCTCACTATGCCCCACTGTCCATCCCTGTAGGAATAAGCATCTCGTGGTAATGCGAGTGGTGTTCAGCGACTCTGTGTGGGGTGGGGGGGGGGGCGAGAGTGAGTGTGCCGCTGTTAAATATAGACAGCCTCTGTGCCCTGGAACGCGGTTTATTATAAGCAGGCTCTTATAATAATGGACAGTGGCTGTGCAGTCGGAGCCGGCATTCCTGGAGTGAATACCTGCTTGCCGTTGGCTAGACGCGCGTGTGCGTCGCGTTCTCAAGATGAATGCGGTGCCGTGGATTAAAGGGGATTTCGGTTGCGCGTGCCACTGGTACTGGCTGCGTGTCCTGCGTGCCCTTGACCTGGTGGGCAACAAAAAATGTCAACCGCGTCTCTTGTAACGCGCACGAGCGTGTGCGTTTCAAAGCGGTACCATTATTTCGGGATGATAAACTCGAATCGTAGCGCGTTCGTTCAACTTTGCCGACTGCAGCTGCTGCTGCTGGTCGGGTGACTGGAGCGGTCGGAGCGCTGAGCCTGCACCGCTGAGAATTCTGGGTTCGAATTTGGGTTTCAGCCGTGCCGAATGAATCTGGGTCTCCGAATGGATTCTTTATCTCGTGCCGTTGAATTATATATTACTTGCAATTGGAATAAATCGAAAGGTGGGAAAGAACAAAATGTCGTAATAAAAAAACACTCAAAACTTAGTTGACTGCAGAGTTCGAGTCTGTATCATGGCAGCTATGATTGATGCATTACTCTTTTAGATAATGTAGTTTTGTGGGTTATGTTAACCTTTAATGGCATGTATGTATTGTTCTGGTCTCTGTGTATCCTGAGCACCACCTATTGGTCCATCCGTCCACTCCAGTGGGTATAGCCAAGCAAATGGCTCGGATGGACCTGTGATGCAAGGAATGAATGCATGGCAGTAGAATATCGTTGACGATGGGATGTTAATTTCCACTTGTTTAATGTCATTGTCATTTTACAGTCTTAAATATTTTCAGTCTCTGGCGATAGGAATGCGAATTTTGTTTATGTATATGCACTCTCGTGATCTGATGGCACAGTAGCGAAGATACGCGGCTCGCAAACAGAAGGTTACGGGTTTAAGTCCTGGTTAATGCTTGACTCAGCCCTTCCTCTCTGCGGAGGAGTCCAGATGTTTTGACATTTACAATGATTTGGGTTGGAGTGGTGGCGCAGTGGTTAGCGCGTTGCCCTATGAACCGATCTGAGTTGGGTTCTTGGGCATGGCTGACATCAGTGTTGATCAATTTCCAGCCCTTTGTCAGTCCACTGCTGGAGAAAAACTTTAGCAGATTGCGTCGGTTATTGGGGTTGTTTGACCACACTTGGCCAAGCTGGTCAGTACGGGTTGATGAAGGAATGGACCAGTGCTGGTTAAGTTATCACTATATTGTTAATGATTAATTATCATACGTATTTATATATATCTATGTATTTTTATATAAATATATCGCAGGCAATCATTGTGTGGAAAAACAATTGTGAAAACGCGTAACAGATAATTGGTGAAAAAATACTCACAATAGGAATTCATAACTTGTCGAGGAACTTGCCCCTACCATAAGCACATGGAATTTCCACCACTGGCTTAGGACTGTAAATTGGAGATTATGGTCACTCCACTTGTGACCGATTTACAAGTGAACATATGAACGGATTTACGTGTTTTCTGCGGGGTGCGGCCATGGCAGTGCAGCGATGGTACAAGTGGAGTGGATAATCGCGCTGCACTGTGAACGCTACGACTACCGCAGTTGCATTTCCAGCGACAGTTCACATCGGTGGAGAGCTACATATTACTCTCTTCACCAACCCCCCCCCTCACATTAACCAGCGTGGTGAAGTACGACCAAGCGACTGCGATGTATCCAACATGGCGTGAGACCTTCATCCAGCAGTATATTGAAAGCGAGACGCCTTTATACATCATTCAGTGACAGAACGTGAGATTGTGTATGCTCCCTGCACATAATGGGCGGCACTCCACCGATTAGCTGCGAGTGCTCATGTGAAACATACACGGCGGCTTCACTGTACCGTGAGGGGTGGGGGGTGGGGGATTGGTGGGGGGGGCATTGCGTCAATGTGGACGAGAGTCACGCTGGGACAAGCCGCTTGCGTAACCAGAGTTCACCAGCGCTGCTCGGCAGCTCCATTTCCAGTGTCCTTTACAAAGGTTAAGCAATATGGCTGTACTGCCGCACATTCGTATTCATTTTCGCCCACCCATGCACCACCACCCCCTCCACTTCCCCATCCCCCACCACCTCCTTTGTGGAATCTGAAAAATGATCGGGGCGAGGGCACTAGGGCAGCGTTTGTCGTACAATGAAGCCACGAGCCGGCAGAGTGCATGATGTTTACTGTTAGGGGCCTCTTCGGGCCACAGCCGTCGTCCCCCGATGGCTGTGGATGAATGCACTTTTTAAGATGAATCAAAAGGTCATTCGTTGCCCTTCAGCCAACCCTTGTCTGTTGGCAGTGCTGGTGGAAGAGTAAGCCATGCCGAGTTGCTGCTTGCTTCCTGCCACCTCCCCCGCTGAAACAAAGATAAATGCTTTTGAAAGTTTATTGGATTAACAAACAAAAACCTGTTGTCGTTTATTCTTCCCCTTGCTGAAGGCAAAATGTCTTTCGTTCTGATCCTTTCGCCGTAGCTTGCGTTTGTATCGTTAATGTAGAACGTGCAACAGTCTCCAAACTCCCAAACTGGTCTCCACACTCTGCGCCACTGCCGCCCACGTGTCAGCCAGCAAGGGGCCGTTCCCCCGTGGGTCACTTGGCGAGCCTCCTCTTGTTGTTGGCTTTCCATTTGTTGCGTTGCCCAGGAGGGCGAGGCGCCGTCGGAGACGATACGCTTCGGGCCGGAGTGCATCTACGTGGACAGCTGGCTGAGGAAGCGCACGTACGACGCGTTCAAGGACGCGCTGGGCTCGGGGGTCCGGCTGCACCTCCAGGTGCGTGCGTGCGTGTGTATGCACGTTGAACTTCTTTCGCACCGCGTACAGCCAAACCGTGCTAATGGGAGGTGCGGGGGAAGAACAACAAACTAAACACAACAAGCAGTTCTAAAGAAATGAGTTTTCAATATACATTTAAAAGTGAACAGCTCCAGTGGCTTCGTAATAACGGAAGGAAGAGCGTTCCAGACGGCCGCTGAAGGGCATCGCAAAGCGTGCGATGCGGTGACTGCCTTTGTTCGATGACGAGCCAAAAGCCGCTGTGAGGATGACCGGAGCTAATGTCGTGGTTTATTCTACGTGACAAGATCATCCAGAGCTATTGTGGTTCATTTGTGGCAAGAAATGGTGCTACCTTGTAAGTTCGCTCACTCCCGCCCTGTTGTACAATTATTACATGAAGGAACGTGCCTTTTAAACAAGGCTATCATGAGGGCTGAGTGACTGGTTCCCAGGTCTTCACGAACGGCTCTCAATTGCTGTGCATGTGTGTGTGGGGGGGGGGGGGGGGGCGTACAACGCACGCATCGACCACCAAAAAACGATCGTCCTCTGTAGTTCAATTACAAGCCAAAACCGTTGTGAAGGAATTTAATAAAAATTGTCATGTGTCGTGTGTGTTTTTTTGTTTTTTGCCGAGCCTTGTTAAATACATCAATTTTTGTCCAGGAGAATGAACTGCTGCGGGACATCTTTGAGCTGGGACCTCCTCTGCTGCTGGACCCGTCGATGTTGAAGACCACGAAAATCTCTCGCTTCGAGCGCGTGAGTTTGCGCGCTCTCTTCCAGCGTAGCGCCGCACAGAGGGGAGCAGAGATTTGCGAAAGCACCCCAATCCGACCGTTGCATCTGGCTTGCACCACTGTGCACGCCCATTTATGGTCACAGTCCAGAGAATTGCCAGCATATAAGGGATTGCCCTTGGCCGAATGCTTGCAAAGCGCCCTCCCCCCCGTCATGAGCTGTGGGTTAATTTGAGCCAAAACTTCCGCTCGACACGTGGGTGGTGGTTGGTTAGTGGTTGTTCATATAAATAATTTACATAAGGGTACCATAAAAAAAAACCCACTCTTAGACTCTCTCTGTTGAAAAAGCGATTTCAAGACTCAATGGCTTGTCACTTTTGTTATAAATAAAGGATTTATTCCAGCGCGAGCGTGGGTTTTAATGGCAATTCATTTTCCCCTTTTCCCTACCGCTCACCCCGCCTCCCCCCCCCCGCCAGCACATGTTCAACTCCGCGACGTTCAAGGCGCGCACGAAGGCGCGCAGCAAGATGCGGGACAAGCGAGCGGACGTCGTCTGAGAAGGCGCGGGAGGTGTTTTTTTATTTTATACAAATAAAAAAAACCTTCACCTGCACTGCACCGCTGCCACGGCCGCGTGGACGTGACGGCGACACGTTTTTGCATGCGCAGGGGCTTTGGGCTCTCCCACTCGCTGTCTTTTGGTCTCGCGGTTCAAACAAAATAGAAAAAAGTCATCGCAAGCAAGTGCACTCGATTGGGTTCCACACTTGGCGTTTTTTTTGACGGCCAATTAGACACGACGCGTGTTCCATTTCAAGTCGCTGTACAGTGCGTTTTGCCCGCCTTTCCCCCCCCTGCCGCCGCCACTTCAAGATGTTCTCATTGTTTAACGGTGTCGACAAGCAGCTGTGTGATCTTTATAAATTATTATCGCTCGGACCAGCCAGTGTTATACTGCGTTGAAGGTTCCTCGCAGCGTTCGGGTCGATGGCTTGAACCGCCGCGAACGACGGGGGCCCCCCCCCCCCCACCTTGTCAGCTGTTGAAATGATGCTGTCGTGAACAAGGCACGGGCGGGGGACCACGTGCTCCTCTGGGGGCAACGTCGTTGGCACCTTGTTTGTTGGCTTGGGGGGGGGAGGAGATGCTGCCCCGTGATGCTGCTCGAGCATAAAGGGACGACATTTGGGAATCGTCGACAGTGTGCCGTACGTTTGCGTTGCGTCCGCCGGATTCTGATAAATGCGGGCATTGTGATGAATGCAGTAAAATCCCGTTATAACGACTCCCAATGAAAATAATTTCGGTGAAGGCAAATGTTCTTTTGGGTACCTTGCGTAATTTTCGCACTGTAACAACTTTGTTTTTGTGTTGTAATAACAACAATAACAACCTACCCATTGCATATGTGTGTTGTCATCGCCAAGTGCTCACTCGGTGGGTTTTTTCCGTCCAGCAGGGCTACAGAATAACCGTTGTGTAAACACCCGACTATTTGGGGTCGTTAAACATCATGTGTTCATGACAGTTTGCCTTTCACTCAGTTGTTTCATTGTGTAAAAACAAAAAATTGCAGATAAAAGTAGATTTTCTACCTACCTTTCCAGCCATATCTGTCGTCATAACACGATTTTACTTGAACATTAGATTTAAGAAGCTTTTTAGGGTTTAGTTGCTACCCGGTTTATTGATTATTTTCTGAGCAACACCAAAAATAAATTCCCCTCTTTAAACAATGTAAGTTCTTTTAGCGATCATGTGATTCTAACCTAATGTTGATGGGGCCTTTATGAGAATGGTGCTCTGCACACGACAATGCTTTTGCAACAATGTGCTGCTTACTATCTCACAGAAACACGATGATCGTGAGTGTTAAAAACACGGGAGAAACTTTTAAAATGCAATTATGAACCGTGGAATTCGATCACCTCGCAAGGGGTGATTCTAGTCTCTTCGATTCGCCTCCAAGATGTTCGTTTTCTAATCGTTCAGTCAACGTGGGACACTTTCAATGCACATTGTTGCCGCTGAGGGAACGACCGAAAACATGCCTGCTTTTTTTATGTAAGGATGTTTGCTTCCATCACTTGACGTAATTTTTACATGCTGTAAAGGAGTGACATTAAGCTACGTTGAGTGTAATTACATTTAAAAACCGAAAGCGTGAATATTCTAATGATAAGAGAACAGGTTATGTTTTTGAAAATAATATTTATTATATCAGATCAATAAAATTGTTCCATTGTTACCGCATCTTTGTGTTGGAAACGTTTTACCATAAGCTCCGGCGCAGAGCAAAATAAACGTAGCTTTTAGATTCAAATCGATCCACGTGGTACTGCTGTTAGTATTTGAAAACAATGCACAAATGTGTGTGTGTGTGTTCACAGTTTAGTGCAGTGGTTAACGTGCTGTGCCTAAACCCGGCGACCGAGTTTGATTCCCGCTCACGGCCAACACCAGTTATGATTACCTGAACCGGTCCTGGGCCTCCCCTAGGTCGACTCGGCCTCAAATGAGTACCTGGTGTGATGTGTAAACATCGCCAACTAGGGAGACAAAGGCAGCCGGGTGTGGCGCTGGCCTCTTACCCCCTCATGTGCCATGCCGACCTGCAGAGGTTCAACTCGCTAACATCACTTGCTCCTATACGTGGGATATGTGTATGTTGTTAGTTTGTGTATGCGGGACCTTGCCCTGTGCTCGTCATTGAGGTGGCAATTGTTTTGCCTCGAGTCGCACCTCATGGGCTGCAGTGTTAGCTACGCGTGCCCTGCGAGATGTCCTGAGTGTTTGAACAGCCTCGTGCATGCACAAGTCAACAATCATGATTCCTTGGTTAGCTTAAAATGTGTGTAAACATTTGGCAAAACTCGCCATAAACTGCAAAGCGGGAGACGTTAAAGACCCTGCGGCATATTTGGTAAGAGTGGACCTGTGAACTGGTGTCTGTTCATATCTAAAATGCAATATCCCGGTTAAGTGGAATGACGTACTCGTGACAGAAATTGGAGGATGAGATTTCCGATATGAGTTGATATGCAATGACATTTGGGTGGAAACGGATGCAGTCCTCAACACAAGCCTTTCACCAACAGCCACCAGCAACAATTTGAATGTTTCTTGCGCCTAAATGCAATCGCATCTCGAAACGCTGCCAAAAATAAATGCATGAGAGTGGGTTGAGTCATGGCAGGGAGCCGTGAGGGAGGTAGAGGAGGGGGTGGTAGGGCAGCACGTCGTCACGGCCTGGAATCGAGCAACGGGGCTCCAGCACAAGATAACAATGAACCCCCAGGGGCCGTAACGCATCGCCAGCGGTCCCCAGGGCATCCTTTGGAGGCTGAAGCCCTTTAATGGGAATCCGAATGGGATAATGAAAAGCAACATGCCGCCATGACTTAAGGAAAAAAAACGTTTTCATTCGTTACACATTACCTGCTACGATGTGGAGCAGAAACATGGGCGAGATAATGAGCAGCCTATGGGTAAGGTAAAGATTTCAATTCGGTGATCGATACATTGACTTAAGGAAAGTTAGCGGCATTGGGTCACGTCTGGAAGGGATGACGGACAAGCTGGTGATGGAAAGGCAACCGAAGGAGACATCGCGCCGGAGAGAGTCACCACCGCAGAGATGGAGTGATGAGACCAGTTCATGTGCAGGAGTGAGGTAGAATGTGGCATCGCAGGCCCATGAGTGATGGCAATGGTGTGGGGAGGCCTTAAACAGGAGGTGAATGGATAACGTTTGAGCATGATGATTTCTAAACCCGACTTTTGAATGTACAGTTGTATTTCCCGAGCAAAGATTTTTATCTCATTGAGAACCGCACGTAGATTTACCTGGTAAAGCCCACTGAAACTATATGGCTATTTTGTTTAGAAGCGACCTGGCCACAAATGATAGCTCAACAGAGTGGCTTATTGCGCGGAAATTTGTAGCAGCCAAATACTACAAACGCATGCTTCTAAATATGGAGGGAAAAACCGGAGGAACCGGAGAAAAATCCACGCAACCACGGGGAGAGAGAGACGCAAACTCCAAATATACAAGCGACAGGGGAGGGCTCAAACCCACGACCTCCTGAACACCAGGCGAGGGTGTTAACATCTCGCTACAATGAGTTGTTCGGCTCTTCCATGGGTGTCCTGGTTGCAGGGTAGAGGACATTGAGGGATGTTCAAGACCCTGTGACATTTCAATGCCAAGCCACTTCCTGCCTGCATCATAGCCCAACCTCTGAACATTTGTCAACAATGAGTAATTTATGAAAATTGTGTGCCGCTTTTTTCCAGCACCAATGTGGTTTTGTTCAGCGAAGTCATCGGCTGTGTGAGTGTGTGTGTAGTCAGTGGGGAGCGGTAGTGTAGCGGTTGGCACGCTGCGCTATGAACCCCACTACCCAAGTTCGATTCCCGTTTACGGGCAACACCAGTGAACCGGTCCTGGGCCTCTGCTAGGTCGACTCAGCCCCAAATGAGTACCTGGTGTGGTGTGTAAACATCGCCACTAGGGAGACAAAGGCGACCGGGCGTGGTGCTGGCCACCCGACCCCCCTCGTGTACCGTTTTTGCTTTCATAGGTGCTCGCTAACAGCACTTGCCCCAACAGTCCGTTAAGGCTATACGGGGGATCTTTGTCTTGTCTGTGTAGTCACAGCAACGCTTCGTTCCTGTGACTACCAGTCCAGGTCCCGTAAGTTGTGAACTGAAACCCTCACCACTGGTTTTAAAAAAAAAACACCGCATCGGATTCACGTTTCAGGAAAGGGGATATTTCGACCGCAGTGGATAATCTTTTTTTTTGCTGGTGACATTTAAGCAGTTGAAGTTTAATTCCAGAAAGCAATGATGTCAGCCTTAGGGCATTTTTGTTCCCCGATTCAAAATCCATTTAAAATTTCTTGTATTTGACACCGCCACAACGTGTCTTACGTCTAATGATGCCAGTTAATTTATGTCGCGCCCTGTATGCCACGGGCATGTTTGTAAATGTCCACGTGGAACCCCATTGTCAAATCCACGGCTGGATGAGGGCCACCTCAAGCCGTGTGGGCCGTGGGGGTTAGTTGAGCACACTGGTTCGTGCTGGTTGGTGAAGGTGAGCGGTATAGATGCGAGAGCACAGAAGTACAGGACAACAACGGGGTTTTTTGCGCCCTGATCTCGTTAAGACCTCAGACGCTAAGCAGTCCTGCGGCGGGATAGCGCTTTTGAATGGGCGACCGCCGTGCATGATAGGTGTTATAGGCTGCGTGTTGCCACGTTGTGGGAGGCAGAGTGCAGTGCAGCAAAATCCATTGTTCTATTTAAATCTTTCGTGACTGCAGGGATTCATCTCCTTGGTTCTTTCGGCAAAGTCACGTGACTTTACCGAAAGAACCAAAAAGATGAATCCATTGTTCTGTTCTTCTATGCTCCCGTGTCGTTACGCCTAATCTTCTCCAACCCACACTCCTCAGCGTGGTGAAGTATGGTCAACCCCCCCCCCCCCCACCACCACCTCGTAGTCCATGCCCTGCAGGCCGTGGGATGGCCTTAATCAAGCAGTGGATTGAGACGAGGGCGGCTGTCCGCGTGCGTCTATTAATAGCGGGATGTGCATCGTAGCCCATGACTGGGTGAATGTTAAAAACCAGACTCAAGTTTCAGAACGGGCTCCGAGGGGAGTCGGCACAGCATCGCCACGCTTCGTGTGCCACCTGTGCCCGGCCTTCCTAGCTGCTGCTGCTGCTGCTCGCTAACAGCACTTGCCCCAGCAGTCTGGCACAGGCTACACGGGGGAACTTTGTCTTTGTTTGCCACCTGTGTCAGAGTTACGAAGCGGCTGGCCAATCATCTCCTTGTGGTCACGGTTCGTGCTCTGCGGGCAGAGCGTGGGGGTTTCTTTCTTTTTCCTGCGCCGCGACTATTTAGAATCAACGTCACGCGTTTCGTGGAGTGTTTGAGCTGCAATAAATTTCCACGCGGTAAGCCACTTCGTTGGGCTATCGTTTGTGATGGCCAAGTCGCTCCTGAAAAAAAAAGAACTACGTAGCTAAGTTGGGGCCTTACCTGGTCAAATGAAGTCGTTTTCAGTGTAGCATATAGTTGCGTGTAACCAATTGGCATAACTGCTTGCTCGGGTTTGGACCCTCCTTCATTCTTTCCAAGACATTATACATCCCCTGGGTTTTGTCAGTTGCACAATAGTAATAATAACGATACCCCACTTAAGAGAATGCATTCAACGTGTACTTGTCACCTCCTGCACGTCAACGGAATTCGAACCACGAGGTTCTGAGAGCAGCAGCAGCAGCAGCAGCAGCCAGCCAGCCAAGTGCGGCCTTCGATTTAAAGCTTTCGTGACTGCAGGAATTCATCTTCTTGGTTCTTTCGGTAAAGTCACGTAGAATGGAAATAATAAAATAATAAAAATTAAACATAATAAAATAATTCTCACGACGTTTCGGCCACAACGCAAGCAGCCGTCCTCACGTGAAGAACAGGTCTTCTACGTGACTTTACCGAAAGAACCAAGAAGATAAAACGTGTCGTTAAACCCGCCACCACCCGACAGCCGATTAGTAAGGTTTATCACGTACACAAAACGTGCCAAATTCACTACTAGTACAGCACACCGCTTGTGTGTTGGAGCGTAAACCCACAACATTAACAATTCGAGCATGACGTGTTGCCAGTAATTACAACCAGCCTCATCAGGCGGCAGCCAGAGTTGTGTAGAAATCCTCCAGTTTCGGTCTTAAACCATTTGCTAGACTTTTTGGCAGGCGATGACTCAATGACCAGATTGCATTTAAACCTCTCAAATATGTGTTCCCTGCCTGCAACGTAGAACGCCTAAAGTTATTGTGAACAGATGCGCCAATATGAGTTATTGTAGTGCCAGCGTTATTGGTTCTGCTGCTATGGGAAAGCGGTGGAGCGAGAATGGGTGGTTAATAGCTATATACCGTTTAATCATCATAATTTTCATCGGCCATGGTGAATCCACTTGCGAATGAGTGACTGCCCAAGCCGTCACGGACATCGTAAATGTGTCTTCATGAATATCGGGTAAATGCCTCAACTAACTACATGTATTTTTGGCAGTCAAATTCTCGGATGACGTTGGCATCGTTGTGTACAAAGACAAGTTTCTTTATTTCAGCACGTGGAAAATATGCGTACAGATTTTATATAAATCATTTTAATTCGCGGCTCTTTGTCAACCCATTGTTGAACGACGGCCTTCCAACTGCTGCGTTGATTGATTGTTTGACCATGCTTCAACCAAGGTTCGTGAATTGGTGAGGCTCAGGAAGCGATTCAGATTATCACCCGT